ATTTTGTGGTACATTATGAATTTAATTTAATTAATTTATTTATTTATCAGTCTATTTATATATTCTCTTCCTCGTCATTTTTCTAACATTTGCCTGTTCAGCGTAGGCCTCCCCCAGGCACTTCCACAGTTCTCTATTTTTTGCGATCCTTCTCCAGTATTTCCCTGCTTTCTCCTTAAAGATATCTTCCCATCTTTTCTTGGGTCTACCTATTTTCCTTTTCCTGTTTCTTGGAATCCATTCTATAATTTTATAGGTCCATCTCTTGTCATTTTGCCTGCAAACATGGCCTGCCCAATTCCATTTAAGACCTCTGATGGTTTGTGTCACATCCCTAATTTTTGTAGTCTTCCGGATTTCTGTATTTCTAATTCTGTCTTTAAGCTTAATGCCAAGCATACTCCTTTCCATCTTCCTTTGATGTATCTCGAGGTCTATTTCGTCTTTGTTTCTAAGAGCCCATGTTTGGCAGCCATAAGTCAAGCTTGGGAGGATAGCGACATCATATAGTTTTCTCTTTATCTTTATGTCAATTTGTTTGTTTTTCATCACTTCCTTGAAACCCCAATACTTTTTCCATGCTATTGCCATTCGCCTTATTATTTCTTTTCTGGTCTGGTCTTCCATGGAGATTGACTGCCCCAGGTGTCTACCTAGTATAGAGTATGTCTATACTCTTTGACATATTCTATATTGCCTCCGTCCAGTACTATTTTTAACCCCCGACGAACCAACCGGAGGGGTGTTATAAGTTTCACGCGTCTGTATGTCCGTGTGTCTACGATTCTTTGAGGCAACGTATCTCCGAAACGACTGAACCGATTTCAATGCGGTTTTGTTTATATAAAAGCTTATATGGTCAGGATGGTTCTTAGCCATATTTCATGAACATCTGATGATGGAGACGGAAGGTAGACTAGGAATCACACTACGCACTATATCCCCGTGTTTGAGCTAATTTGACTCGGAGTTGTCATACCTTTCAAGTCATGCATGACAATTATGGAGGTCCTAACTATTTTAAAATATAACTTCAATGAGCGTACTCGTATTTATTTGACTTTAGGAAATAGGTAGATAAAAGATCTTTTACTTTAAACCTGTGCGTAGGTATAACATGTATTTAATAAGTTAGTAATATTACAAAAGTAATATGTAATACTTCTGTATGTACCTATGAGTACCTGTACCTGTGCTTTATTCTGGGTGAATGAATTCCTTGCTTAAATAGGTATGTAGAAAATTTATTTAAAACCCGTACTCAATTTTGCTCGCTTTGCTCAAGGACTGCTTAACCTAGCTTTATTCACAGTTTACCTATTATTGCCAGTGTAGGAAAAGAGACTTTACAAACAAAAATGTACTTAATAATCCAGATCTACTTTGGGTAATATTGTAAAAATTTGCGCTCGCTTCGCTCGCGATCATCTAGAGCAATTGCTTGGCTTACCCCCTCAGAAGATGGCGTCAAATGTCTGTTGCAGGATTCTTACAAGCACCAAGTGTCATTAACGGGGGGTTGAGGGGGGCTTGCCCCCCTCACAGACGAAGACGTCAAACGTCTGTTGCAGGATTCTTACAAGCACCAAGTGTCATTAATGGGGGGTTGAGGGGGGCTTGCCCCCCTCACAGACGAAGACGTCAAACGTCTGTCGCAGGATTCTTATAAGCACCAAGTGTCATTACCGGGGGGTTGAGGGGGGCTTGCCCCCCTCACAGACGAAGACGTGAAACGTCTGTTGCAGGATTCTTACAAGCACCAAGTGTCATTACCGGGGGGTTGAAGGGGGCTTGCCCCACTCACAGACGAAGACGTCAAACGTCTGTTGCAGGATTTTTATAAGCACCAAGTGTCATTACCGGGGGGTTGAGGGGGGCTTGCCCCCCTCACAGACGAAGACGTCAAACGTCTGTTGCAGGATTCTTACAAGCACCAAGTGTCATTACCAGGGGGTTGAGGGGGGCTTGCCCCCCTCACAGAAGAAAACGTGTCGTTGCATTTATCACAGAAAAAAGCGAACGTCTGTTTTGGAAATGTTACAAGCCCCAAATGTCATCACTAAAAAGGAAATTAACATCTATTTTGAAGTAGTTCAAAAACTACCAAAAAATTTGCTCGCTTTGCTCGAAGGCTTTTTTTCTGCTGCTTCTGCTCAACGTTGTTTTCTTCAATCTGCTTGTTTTTTTTTTGGCAATGTAGGTAAAGACACTTTATAAAGTAATCTACTGAATAATCCAGATAATTTTTAGTAAATATCGTAAAAATTTGCGCTCGCTTCGCTCGTGATCTTTCTTTGTGTTTCGCTTTCCGTGCTTGTCGTATTTAAAACTTAGTTGACGTACTTATACATCAGGTTATTCTTAATTGAAAAAACTCAATTAAAACACAAAAATCTTTGTAGAATTTTGCGCTCGATTTGCTCGCGGTCACTCAGGTTACCCTGCTATTCCCTGTATTGCCTATTTTTCTGTCCTATAGGATATATAAAAGATCACTGTGTTAATTTACACAAAAAATAAGATTGTTAAGCTAAGTTTTATTGTCATATAAAATTACTGAGCAGCAGCGGGTAGAACCGCCGTTTAGAATGCTAGTGAGAAATAGTAAGCGCATAAAAAATCATGTTGTATGTTGTTTAAAGTCAGAAACAAAATATTAATTTAAAAAGCTTCAAATAAAACTTAAATTAAAAATTTAAAGGAACCCCGACATCCTTTAAAAAGTTAAAAATAATTTATTTATCCAATAAAATATTGTAAACCATAATACTCCAACGCGTCGGGGGGCCGCTAAGTAAACAATATAATGTAAGAAGTTTACAAAGCATAATAAACATATAAGTTGCAAATGTCATTTCATTTCATACAAGTACGTCTTACGATTTTATTGAAACTTCTTACCGATATTGTTTACTTAGCGGCCCCCCGACGCGTTGGAGTATTATGGTTTACAATATTTTATTGGATAAATAAATTATTTTTAACTTTTTAAAGGATGTCGGGGGTTCCTTTAAATTTTTAATTTAAGTTTTATGTGTTCAGTGTTGTTAGTCATCACTATATAGGGTGAAAACTAGTGACCGGTAGCGAAAACTCGGAACTGGGTGCTGATAAGGAACAACTTTTCCCAAGGAACATAGGTCGTGCCGATCAGCTGATTTGAGTTACTATGGGAGGATCATTTATTTTTCTTTGAGCTGGTTCCGAGTATTCGCTATCGGACTAGTTTTCATGCTGTATAGTGCCTATTGAAAATACCGCGAAATGAACAGAAATTTAATTTATTTTGAAGCGCCAAAGTTAGCGTTTGCCTGTTTGTTCAATGAAAACTAAATACAAAAAAAAAGTTACTTCAGAATAGCATTGCTGCATATTTTCAATTCATACTATTATGTAAGGACAGGAAACCTTCAGTCCACATAACCTAATTTCGAGTGTTCAAAGTCAATTACAAAGTGTGACTCGATTCACGCCAGTAGATTGGACTAATGTACTTCACCCTACCGACCTAATAGCATTGGGCCTGTGTTGAGTGGTATCTTCGCTATCCGTGCGAATACACTGAGAGACAAAAATAAGTTCTAATTTCTACGAAAAAACTGGAAAATCTTGACGAAGGTGAACAAATAAGTGGATCAGTGGCAAAAAGGCTTCTAACGTATACAGGATAAAAAAAAACGACACGAACGCGGTATTAAGATAAGTTTTAGATGAGTGAATACTTTTCTGAGCATCTAACGCCACAAACACAAAGCAGAGTTCCCCGTCAATTCTTCATAACTATTGCCCCGTTTCTTTAACACCGCCTGACATCGCCTAAAATCATAAAATACCCAAAGACGCACACGATCCAAATTTTTACTTCTTTTAGAGCCAAATAGTAGTGGTCGAGTGTCAGAAACTAACTACATCTTCATCTCATCTCGCATTCCGCATGGTGCTACTCCACTTCGAAATTTGCCTCGAGCAGCGGAGAGGCGTCATATAAGTAGACTACGCTATAGGTACCTAGTGAAATTGGTTTATGTAGCACCTTAAGGGAACAAATCACACTGGTTTTCCATACAGTTTATAAGAATAACTATTTGTTTTTGATAGTACAGCCTACTTAAAACTATTTTATGATTTTTTATAACATTTTTTGTCCCTACTTGTACATTAGTGTATAAGTAACTGGCGAGCATTCCTCGTGTGGAGGAGCGGGAGTAGTTGGAGTGGTTAAGAACTAATTTAAAAGTTCCTCAGTCGAGTTACGAACAGCCTCGAATAGTTGGATTTAATAGAATACTAATAGAATTTCTAAGTCGCATACTTTTTTTATTTGGTTCTATACAAGAAAAATATAACAACGTACAATAATACTTACTAAAAGAAACGAGTCGTAATATGTTGCTCTATAACGAATTTGATTATACACGTTCATAAAATTACAGCCGATGTGGCGCACTGCCGTGTTACGCGAAACTCGTGTAACTCTAATTACACGAATTACGCTTAACATGTCTTAATCGTTTTTTTGGTGTCTACTTTATAAGGGGAATTTGAATAAAAAATATTTTGTATGAAATTTTTTACAACAAAATCAGTGTTACACGAATTTGGCAAGACATAACTTTGCCGGTTACTGTTACGCGCTGCGCGTGTAACTCACACGATTTAACTACAGTAAATGCTACTGGGCGCGGCGCGTCGCGAATTAAACGTTGAACATAACCTATCTCGCGGAAAGCATGTAACTCGGAGATACACGGCCTCGCGTAACACGATTTGTATGAGATTTTCACTGCTCCAAATTTCAAATGGCTATAACTTATTCTGCATCAAATATTATGAAAAAATATTTGGATGTTCTTCAAACTAATAACAATAATAAAAGATTTGTTAAAAAATATATGATTTTAATGTGCGCATAGCATTTAGAAAAGAAAAAGCAGATTTTAGATTCAAATGCGTTTTTCTCAAGTCGATCAGTTTTAAGATAAACGAGTTCCGCGTCACACGGCAGCGCAGTGGTTAGTATGACCGCCTGCCACGCAGAAGGTCCCGGGTTCAATTCCCGGGTCACTAACAAACTTTGTGAATTTGTTCCCAGTCTAGTTAGGACATCGCAGGCTGAACCACCTAATTGTCCGAAAAGCAAGATGGTTCCGTGCTTCGGATGGGCACGTTAAGCCGTCGGTCCCGGTTGCTGTCTATGATAGCGATCGTTACACAACCATGTCAGAAGCCTGCTACTTGCAGTAGGTGGTTGAAAATCTCTGACACCAGAGTCCATCGGGTCGTTAAACGACTCAGTGTCCCACACAAAGAGAGGGATCAAATCAGATACTTAGCGTTTTTCATGTATTTTGTTTCAATAATAAGAAATTTTGTCTCAAAAATAATTTGGAGATATACGTAGTTTCAGTCTCTACACAAAAGATTTGCTGTAAATCTGCCGGAAATTGTTTTGGGTAAAAGAAAAACGGGAGATTTTCTGCACATTTCCCTTCATGAAAACATTTTAACATATCCCAACCGTTTTATGAATATTTAGTCCGATAGTTGGAAGAATTTATGCCCTCCGTATTTGGAGAGATATTTCCGCTTGAATATAAAGAAGCCATGTTTTAAGTAACACTTACTATAAATACTTCCTTATTTACTTACTACTGTGATGGATGATAATTAATATAATACTTGATGATGATGATATTTATTTAAATGTGGGTTCAGTCTACTGAGCTACGAAATTTCTCGTAGCACAATGCTACACGATTCTTATTATACGTATTATGTCCAACGTACTTTTATGTTCCAGAAAAAGGTTTAATTCAAACGGACTAATTACCACTTAACCATTTCCTGCCACATAGCTCGAGGCTAATGTTCTAAAACTGCTCCACAAAATAAAAGGGTTCAGCCGCTCGTTTTTCCATGTTTAGGTAAATTAAGTGGACTAAGTAAATACTTAAGCTAAGGTTAGCTAAACTGTACGGTGGATCGTCCCCAATGCCAATACCCCATTAAATTTGACCAGTTTTAGTTTAAAATTAGTATGTATGTACCTACCTACTTATCTGTTTGCCTATTCAACGTGCAATAATTTATAAGTGTGTGTAAATGTTCTGCTCGAAAAGAAAAAGATATGTAATTTTCTACTTCTCCCTTCTTCGTTATCGCAATCTTCAATTTCTAAAACTCATACCTACCCAATTTATATTATTTCTTGTGGAACGCAGAATTATCCTTTATACTAAGGTACTTAAACTAAAGTACCTACTCTTCATTTCATGAGTATCAAAGTTTATTATACTTATACCGGTAGTAAAAATATCTTCATCGTTGGCAAGCAACGTGTTAACAGTGTCCAATGTTCCCGTTCATAAGCGTTATTAAGGACACGTTCGACGGTTTGAAAGGCGTTTAATCTTGCTAAGAAAACACTGGCGGCTGATGGATGTGCTCTATCAATCTTGTGCTGAGCTGCTGAGCTGCACCACGTACGAGGAAACGTGTCTCACTAGAGCTGTTAATCGGCAGCTTGAAGCAAGCCAGGCAAATTGAGCTTATAAGAAAAATAAATAATAAATAAATAAATAACCTGGACATTTCACACAGCGCCATCTAGCCCCAAACTAAGCAAAGCTTGTACTATGGGAACTAGATAGCTGATATCAATACTTATATACCTTTTTTTTTTGTAAATACATACATATTATACATAGAAAACATCCAAACTAAACACAAATATTTGAAAATTGACTTAACAAATATTTGTGTCGGTGGGGATCGAACCCACGACCCTCGGCGTGGCAGGCAGGGGCACTATCCACTACGCCATCGGGCCAGTCAGTCGGTAGATAGGTACTTACTGCGGCGGCTCAATGTCCCAAGGAAGATCTTGGCCAGCTGCACAGACTAGTGACGTCATAAAAATGCGCGACTTCTTTTCTTTGTGGCCAACTGCCTCGGTCTTCTAAGTTTAGTTACTCATATTTTGTGTAGTTTCATCATCTGCCTGCCCTTGTCCCAAATCAGTTGGGGTCGGTGCAAAATGTTTTGTTAGAGCGCAAAATCATGCAGCAAGCCTTTGGCATTGTTTTATGACCGACCGCCTGCCCGACGTCAACCCTCTTTGGGAATGCTACTGTAGATGGTATTACCGCCACCATGTGGTTGACCATAGTTGACAATAGGTATACAGTCGAGGAGTGGAGTCGAGGTCAAAAACTCGACGTCGCCTTTTACCAAACACACTGAGTGGACTAGGGGTGGCAGTATTCTTAGCCACTACCCACACGGAACTCATATTTATGTAATTTATATCACAAAAAAGCACAAGGAAAGTGCAGCCCTTGTTATTTTAATGATACCTCCACTATCCTCGGGGACATGTCGGCTTAGATTATACGAGTGGCTATGATGAAGGATGAGCGCGATTCGTCTTTCTCAGCTGCAGAGCCAAGTCACAGTGTTAGAATGGACTTGGATATAAAAACTTAAGTTGTTTCGATACTTTCCAGATTCCATGTAAATAGAACACACTTTTCCATTCTGTCCCGGCACTGTACGTAGTCCATTGGAGAATCTAAAGCTATCTATTAAAGTTGTTATACCTTTCAGAAAACTGTATCCAATCGTTTCACGGATTTTCGAAAAGAAGAAGGTGAATTTAAAATAAGTTTCTTGTTTCGAGCGTAGGCTATAATACTTATAACCTACTTAGGTTGGGGTGATATACCAGGGCTTTGGCGGGAAGAGTCTAACGGCTCAGACAATGATGCTGCCACTTAAGGTAAGAGGCTTTTATTTTTATTTCTCGTCTTTAACTTCACGTGCTCTTAAAATGGAGCTCATTTTTCTGAACCTGAACTTGCTTTGAGTCTCCCAGTCTTAGCTTTAAGTGCCTAAGTGTGGGGTTTCCTTAAGACAATAGAATGAAATTCTTGAATGTTTATTTTTCTTTAGAAAAGCTCTTACGTATAACATTTTTGGTTTAAAACGTACCTGAAAACAAACAATGAACGTCGTTACATTGGTATAATATTTATTGGGCTACAGCTATAATCGTAACCATTTAGTGGCCCCAATTTCGCTACTCGATGGGCATCTTAGTTGTATTTGATACCTAAAGAGTTTTGTATTGCGCTAAAAGTTGAAAAGTTTCTTTTTTGTAATAGTGGCGATAAAAAATTGTGAGTGTGCTGAAATGGAAATCGCAAAATATAAAATCATCGGGGCCTTGGACATTACCAAAGAATACTCACGTTAGCTACATTACAGGCCTTAGCTACAATATGTTCATGCAGACGGAATAAGGTTCAAACTTTTGAAGCAGTAAGGGTCTAAGCAAACTACAAACAATCAAATTAAGGGTGACCACAAGGCCCCGACGATAGCACAAGTCCACGCCCAGTAGACAAGGGAATAGTTTTTGTCAGATTGTTTGCGGCATTTTAGCGACCGCCATTTCCCGTGCGGACGGCCCTGAATGAAAGATTAATGAGCTCCCCTGACGTGAAGGTTCTTAACTATCCCGTTTTTTTAACCTTCCTTGTTGTGAAGTTTTGGCGCTTCCTTTAAAAGGATTGTTTTTGTCCATATGTGACGTGCATGTCCAATGAAAGGAGCAAAATACCATGTCTGATCCTTGCCAACTCATCAACATTACACTCAAAACCCACTAAAATTATGGCTACAAACGTTATATAAAGAGGGTCAAAATCGGAGCTACGTGCTCCGCAAAAACTGCATTACAAGTGTCACCACTATTCTTTTATTTTGAAGTTCCTACTTGCCTCAGTCGACTAGTAACTGCATGTATTTAGTTAGTTAAGTTTTAATAAACAACATTCATTTGTTTGAACAAACTGCTATGAAACTAAACCAGTTTGCCTCCGCTTCCTCACAAAAGTGCAAAAAAAAGAAGTTTCTAAAACAAAACTAATTGATAAACTTTCCTCTTTCCAAGACTTTATCAACTTTAATTAAAAACGAGTACATAAAACAATGACAAACTATTCCGCCATTAAAACTTTATACTTCAGCAAAAAGAAGGTTAAAAATGCAACCGCCTGGTGCAGAATTCGTGCAATTTTTAACTGGAATTTATCGCTTTCATAAATACAAATTTGCGCTGCCACTTATTTTATATTTTTGGTGGCAACATTTACGTGCACGGTGAGCATGCTGCAATAGACGTGAACATTTCATTTTAAAGAATTCTAGGTATAAAGGGACCTATCTACTTATATCAAAGCGCACGATAGTGCACCAGCCAAGTTTTATGCACAGGCCTAGAGCAGAGCATAATTTATCATCTAGAACCTTCGTAAGTATGCATTGAGGATTTTCCATAATTATCTAAGCCTCGCTAAGATAAAAATCGCATTATAAAGGTCAGTGTTAAAACATATAAGTTGCATGTATTGGTCAAGTATTCAAGTTTAGAATCCACTTGCGTTCAGTAGCGGAATATTGGCACAAATCATCAAAAAAAATTGGACCTCTACAAATACAAATTTAATCAGTCGGCTGGCCCAAAGTTAGTTTTTTAGATTTCAGCCTATATTCCTCGGGTAAAGTTGTTCATGTTTATAGACTAGTTCTCACCATAACCCATGATCTATGTTAGTACACCAAACATTTATTACGGACACTTTTTCAGGAATGCTCATGCGAAGCTTTTACAGGTAGCGGATAACGTTCAACGACACCACTTTTCCGCCCGAGCATGTGGAATGAAGAGAAATTACTTTTGCACTCACTTTTTCGGCAGACCGTCTTATTTCCTTATTAAGTACCTACATTCAAGATATATTGTGAGGATAATGCTTGTTCTACAGGCGAAACTTTATTGGACATAAATTTCCGTAATAGAGGGTTAGGATTTGTTCACACGCTATGTACAATCAGCTGCACGTTTGCCTACCCCTTTTTGAAAGTTCAACCTACGCTGGTTTTTCGTGTCAACTGTATGAAAAACCTACTTTAGTTGGTCTTTTAAATAGGTAGGTTGAGCTGCTGCTTGTACTTTTATCTAAGCTTAGTATTAAATATGTCAGCTTCGTTGCGTGACTGAA